CTTGAGGCTATAGATAATTACAAATCATTAGATGCTTAAAAATATTTTGTCTCTGGCTAGAAGCAGGAAGTTTTTCACACGACATTGAGCTATGGTTTTGTTGTTTTGAAAACACAAGTTACTTTACTTGTGCTTTCAAAATAACAAAAACATCTTAATCACCAGATTTGATTTAAAACAACAAAACTATCATGCAAATCATATATATACACACACTCACACACACACACACACATATATATATATATATATATATATATATATATATATATATATATATATATATATATATATATATATATATATATAAATATACACACACACACACACACACACACACATATATATATATATATATATATAAATATACACACACACACACACACACACACACACACACACACACACACACACACACACACACACACACACACACATATATATATATATATATATATATATATATATATATATATATATATATATATATATATGTATATATATATATATTTAGATAAAATATATATAGAATATATATATATATATATATATATATATATATTCTATATATATTTTATCTAAATATATATATATACATATATATATATATATATATATATATATATATATATATATATATATATATATATATATATGTGGGTGTGTGTGTGTGTGTGTGTGTGTGTGTGTATATATATTTATATATATATATATATATATATATATATATATATATATATATATATATATATATATATATATATATATATATATATATATATATATATATATATATATATATATATATATATATATATATATATATATTTACATGTAGGGGCGTAAAATGGGCATCTTTTTAGACGTTTTGTGCTATTCTTAAAACTGTTTGTAGGAAGTCTTGACATTAAAGTTTTTTTTTTCATTTGTTTTACTTGTGTTTGTTAAGACTTAATCTAAATAAAACGGGCTCTACTCTCAAAAAAAAATTAAAAACTGAAGAAAATCCATAAATATTTAGAAAAGCTCATAAAAATAAAAAATATTCTTAAAAAATTCTTAAAACTCATGAAAGTACATTATTATTTTTATTTATTTTTACAGTGCAATAATGATTTCTAACTTATAACCAGCTTCAGAAACTATTCTCGGAAATATATAAGAGAGAGGGCCTGGACAGGGAAAGATGATATTTAAAAAAAAATTTATTAAATTATAAAAAATTTTAACTCAATAATAAAGTTTCATTAAAATTAAAATACAGCAATTTATGAATTTTTTATTCTTTCTTGAAGAAGCAATATTAACAAAAAAATGTACATAAGAAACTAGACTTTATTTGTGTTTGTACTAGCGGTCTTTTCGTAATTTATTTTATTACTCCTGTTTCTATTTTTCTAAAATAGAAACAGGAGGAATAACTTAACTTAACTTTTTGTAAAGAGAAAGATGTCCTGCTTTTTTCCTCAAACTATGCTCTCTTTATTATGTCTTGAACTAACTTAACTGACCTCTCAGAACAATCATAAACAACATCAAGTCCCTTAACTGTTGCTCTAAAATTTAGATAAAAATCGTTGAATTTCCAAAAATCTGGTGGAGCCTTCAGCTATTGAGTTTCTGTCTTACCATGCCTTAGCATGTCAAAAACTAACCGCGACTTTTTTGTTATTAATAGAGTCAAACTAGGAGGCTCGTCTGAGAGCTTGCAACAGCTTGAGAGCCAAGTAGGTTCCATTCCTTAAAGCTTTTCATTTGTTAGTAAGCCTTCATATCCTAAAAAAACAATACTGATTAACATTTTGAATTCTTTTAATCAATAATGAAAAAATACTAAAAGATTGATTCATGTGTCGGTACCAAAGAACTTTACTCTGCTTTTAGAAACCACTCTGTATAAAATTGAATAAAGCCATATCAGTTATTACTTCTTTATGTTTGCCAGTCATGTTTTGGATTTCATTCATTAAAAGATAAAATTTTAAGTAGTATAAACCTTTTCTCATAAATCTTGAATGGTGAACTGGTCCTGGTAAGTGAAATTTAAACCTATTTGATGATAAAACCATATAAATAAGTTCAGCCAGCATGGTATTTTTTTCTAATATTTCATTCCCAAAAGATTTTGGATATATTATAAATTTGTAATAAATGTTACTTTTTAAAAATTAGATTTAATAGAAAATAAATAAAAATGAAAATATTACCTTTTCGAAGATCTTTAAACTGATCATATTATGGCAAAACTTAACAGCAGTTAGTTTTTGATTATATATCCATGCTCCAGATGGTATTATTATACTTTTCAGTTCCTTAGTTTCAGCATCTATACTATTGCAGTTTTGTTTTAGAACTTCAAATAGTTTATTTTCTGGACCATAAGTTTTGCTGCTTGGGTAAATCTATAGATATGAGTTATGTGTTGCTCAATTACATGATGTCTACATACAATCAAATACAAGGAACGTTGAACTTGTTGAATTAGTTTTATGTAAGTACCTTGTCATTTTTCTGTAATTGCTGAAGTTGTGTCAAAACAGAGGCATTTAACCTTATCCTTTAATCTAAAAACTTCCATCAATTTTAAAACTGATGGAATTTTTTGGATAAATCTAAAAACAGCTTGCTTTTAATCAACTGCAATTCTATCTTTTTAAAATTGCTTTCCTTTTGTTAATTCAGTAACTATTTTTCCATCAAAGTGTACACTCGTTAGTGAATCTGATAATATTCTAGTATTCTTTTATTTCTTTAGCCCTATCAGATATTACGTTCTATGCAGCTCTTTAAGATGTGGATTTAAAACAATTAAAGTTCGCTACAGAACCACCAGCCATGAAAATAACAATTGTAATCAATGCTGTATGTTAATGGAGTATTATACCTTCTTCCACGGCTGTATGAGCGGTTGACTAAAGAATATTTTTAGGAAAAAGAACAGAATTTTGAACATTAGGGTGCGCATTAAAATCAAAGTCAACATCTGTTCCTTGCCTAATTTGTTGCTGGTGTAACTAGTATAACTTTGATAGTCTAAATCATTCTTATATAATACCGCTGACGGATTTCTATTTAACTTTGATGTGCATCTTTTACTTCTTACTACAGAATACTCACATCTTTTATCTCTACCTCCAAAACATCCTTTTCTTTGACTAAGCTGGTCTTTGAAGAAAGCAATATCTTTGTCTTTACCTTTTCTAATCTTATCTTTTAATATTTTTTCAAATATAAAAGTTGAAACTGCGCTAAATGAAACAACTTGTATACTATACAAATACTTATGATTAGTATTTCCTAGATAATTATAAAATATATTTTATAGACCAATTGCAGTTTGTTTTTTTAACCTTGGTCTATTTTTATAAAATTTGGTTTTATTATGACAGCATTTGCTACTTACAGTTGTGTTAATAAATGGACTTAACGTATGGCAAAAGTTGAAGTCTTTGGTCTTGAAAATGCTTGCATAGGCATTGGCCTTGAAACTCCTAAATTTGTCCTTAACCTTAAACTCTTAGCGATGGCCTTGTTCTTGGGTTTGTAACTTTTGACCATGGTCTTGACCTTGGCCTTGTAACGCGTGGCCTTAGCCTTGGCCTTGGTCTTGATACTTTTGGCCTCGCTAACAACTCTGCCTGTCGGTTCTTTTTAAAGATGGATTCTTCCCTTCCCCCTTCCCCCTCCCTCATTTAATTTGTAGAATTGCCTCTGACTGGATGGCGTTCAACTGTTGTTTTTCTTTCGAAACTAAAAAGGGGAAAAGAATTTGGAAAGTTAAAAATAGTAAGAATTGCTAATTGTAGTAAACGCTCTTCCATTATTTAAAGAATAAAATATTGCATTTTCAAAACTTATATCTTAAAATTAAGCAGAAAAAGAACATGTTTAAAAATACTAGAATATTAATTTCATAATCTTTTAATGAAATAAAAAAAGTTTTAATATACAACATATTGATTAACTTGCCATTTTCCGCCTAAAGGAAGACTAACAAATGAAATACATTTACAGTTTTTTTTCTCTTATTTCCACAGTTTATAGCAGCACAAAGTAATATAATTGTTTTAATTAAGATCTAAATTCTTTTAAATACATCCAAAGGAAATTAATCACTACATAATATTATATACTTTCTGTGGTTCGGCTGGACATCCCAGAAAAATTTTCAATAAAATTACATCACGTTATATAAAATTATGCCACAATTATAAAAAAAAATCTTTGGTTAAATAAAAATTTGGTGCATTTTTTGTTTCTATTGTCAAAGAGTAGTAGTAGTTTTTTGTTTTGAGTAGTAGTAGTTTTTTGTTTCTATTGTCAAAGAGTAGTAGTAGTAGTAGTAGTAGTAGTAGTAGTAGTAGTAGTAGTAGTAGTAGTAGTAGTAGTAGTAGTAGTAGTAGTAGTAGTAGTAGTAGTAGTAGTAGTAGTAGTAGTAGTAGTAGTAGTAGTAGTAGTAGTAGTAGTAGTAGTAGTAGTAGTAGTAGTAGTAGTAGTAGTAGTAGTAGTAGTAGTAGTAGTAGTAGTAGTAGTAGTAGTAGTAGTAGTAGTAGTAGTAGTAGTAGTAGTAGTAGTAGTAGTAGTAGTAGTAGTAGTAGTAGTAGTAGTAGTAGTAGTAGTAGTAGTAGTAGTAGTAGTAGTAGTAGTAGTAGTAGTAGTAGTAGTAGTAGTAGTAGTAGTAGTAGTAGTAGTAGTAGTAGTAGTAGTAGTAGTAGTAGTAGTAGTAGTAGTAGTAGTAGTAGTAGTAGTAGTAGTAGTAGTAGTAGTAGTAGTAGTAGTAGTAGTAGTAGTAGTAGTAGTAGTAGTAGTAGTAGTAGTAGTAGTAGTAGTAGTAGTAGTAGTAGTAGTAGTAGTAGTAGTAGTAGTAGTAGTAGTAGTAGTAGTAGTAGTAGTAGTAGTAGTAGTAGTAGTAGTAGTAGTAGTAGTAGTAGTAGTAGTAGTAGTACCATATTAATAATTTATGCATTTAAAACTTAATAGTAATTTTTATTATTTTTCAGTACCACATCATTTCGAAACTAAATGGAATCAAATCAAGAACATTGTCATGACTTTGACTTTTTTAAAGGTAACTTTCATTCAAAAGGCCGATTTTTTTTTATTCAATGTTTCAAAAGTTACATTATTTATTTAACATATAGAATATATATCAAAAATTTACCTGAATAAAATTAAAAGATTTTAAAATCCTTAATAAATTAACAATAACATTTATATAAAAAACTGAATACTTGCTTTTAGTGGTCGTAGTAGGCGTTATTTATATGCAGCGTATCATAAAAAAAACTTATTGACAGTTATCTATTTGAATGTATACAAAATAAGTATGATCGTTTAACTAAATAACATTAAATATTAACTTTTATAACAATATAAAAAAAACTAACTTTTAAAAGCTATTCTTTTTTGAAGCAATATAAATAATAAATACCGTAGATAGGGGTAACTAAAGCCACTTTCGAAATTCAAACTTCTGCCCAAGTCAGACCCTTTAATTTATAGGTTAAATAAATATTGCAAAATTTGGGTCTGTGGTCATATATTAAAGAAATATATTCATAAACTGCAGAAATATACATTTTTTTAATAAAAAAAAATGAAAACATGGTGCCTTTAGTTACCCCTGGAAAAGGGGTAACAAAAGCCATCCATTAAAAAGCTATGTTTGGCTTTAGTTAGAGAGTGCTAGGGTAACTAAATCCATAAATCATGCATCTGTAACAATAAAGAACCACTATTGACAAGAAAAAAGCTTTATTATTTAAGAAAAACATTAAAAAGAGACAAAAATATTATTTAAAATAGGTCTTGTTGCTTTACCAGTAGTTCATAAGGAAAAGTATAACGTCCTCTGTTTACTTTGCATGGTTTCACAATTGAAATAACGTCTAATAACTGAATGTCCATTTCGTCATCAACATTTGGAAATATATAGTCATTTCCTTTTGATTTGGAGCTTCTTCTGAAAAACTTTACTGTAACTTCGTTCTTCTCAAAACAAGTTCTAAGAATGACTTCATATAACTGTTTAGTGGTTTCTTTTTTTGTGTTCTTATCAAAGATGAGCTCAACAATGACGTAAATATCAGGTTTAAGTTCTCCTTTAGAGACTCCTATTTTGGGGGGTTTGTCATAAGTTGTTTCTTCTAGTTGTAGATCTACTGGTATCTCTGATTCCCGGTCACTAAATATTTCTGGATCTATATCTGAATTAGAGTCTCTCAAAGAATACTGGTCATCACTATCATCAAATGAGTCGGAATTCGCAAGTTTCTTATTATGTTTCAAAGTCTTTAGTTTGCTGTGGTTTTCCTTTGTTTTGGTATTGGGTGTATTGGACCTATTTGATTGAGGATTATCATAATTGATCAGAATTGTGTCTTCAATCCCTTCAATCCCCTTTCCTGCTGGGACATTAAGTTTCCTTTTCTTCCGCTGTTTAAGAGGTTCGGTCTCTCTCTTCCTACTTTCTTCAAAAAAGGCTTTGATAGAATCAGTCCAGTTGTTGCTTGAATTAAGCTCTTCAGATACTGCAGTGGCATCACCATCAGGAAGCCTTTTCAGAATTTCATTTCGGTCTAAAGGTACAATACCAGCTGCCTTAAATCCACTTTTTAAGTTTTTGCTTATGTTTTCCTCTCCCAAAGCATTAAGGCCTTTTTTCAGAAGTCTTGGAAACCTGTCTTTTGGAAAAGAGCCACGATTAGCCTCTTTCCACTCTGTCAAAAGCCACCTTTATGATGTGGCTTTAGTTACCCCATGTTGTGTATCACTGAAAAAAAAAACATCACAACAAAAAAAAGAATCAGGTTATAGGTTATAACCTTTAAAGGTGAGATGAAACATAAATTGAGGTTATGTTTGTTGAGAGTTATGAGAATTTAAGATTAAAAATGATTTGTTCAGAGCAGAAGTTATGCAAGGTAACTTTTTTATCGATTTTTTAGGTTAAATATATAGTTTTACTGTACACTTACCGTGATATTGTTTTAATAAGACAAGTATTTGGAAAGCAGTCCAAGTTCCTATTAGAAGAACACAATATCAGCTGTTGAATCCAAACATTACCTGCTATAATGGCTTTAGTTTCCCCGTAGGCTTTAGTTACCCCCATCTACGGTAAGCTATATAAATACTTTTTTTTTATTATTATTTTTTTACAGTTTTGTAATTCAAGCTTCTAAATGAAAAAGACTTTAAAGCCTCTGAAAGCTTCAATCTTTTTTGTCATTAAGTTTTGGAAGCTTTGACCTTTTTTACATCAAACTTCTCAGAACAAAACACCTCCTAGTGGGATTAGGCTTGGATCTTAGAAACCTTGTCAAAACAGATTATGTTGTGGTCTTTATTGAGACAATTTAATTGAAGAATTTTTAATTTCTCGTTCCTGCATTCTAAAGCTTCCAAATAAAACATTCCAATCGGCAGGTTATTTGAATTTGTCACATAATGACTGTTAATAACTTTTTTGTGCATAGAGAAAACTTGTAATACCGGTGGTTATGCTTAAAAAAAAGCTTGGAAGTGATTTAACACAAAAACTTGAATAGATTAAGTTTAATCTTCTCTTCAGAAGTCAGAACGCGAAGCTATTTCCTCTATGCCTAGTACTACAATATATTTTTAATAATCTTAGTAATTGATTTAAGCAAAGAAATAATTATGCACATCCCCGCAGCGACTCTTAATGATTTTTTTTTTAATTGATTTCATAAATTCTTGGAAACTTTGAAAAATCAGGCCCGAGGGTCCTCTACAGTCAAGAAGACTGCTATTTTTTTAAAAAACTAATAAAAAACAAAAACAAAAAAAACAACACTTATAACAAGGAAATTAATAAGCCGATTAGACCTATGACAAAAAGACCTATGGTTGATCTTAGCACTGTATTCCCTAAACCAAGCTTACTGAAAGACCGTTCTCCTTAGGCGATGTAAACAGGAATTGTGGTTTCGTTCATGTAGTTCTCATTTAACAGTTTTATCAAAGTAACAACGGCTTCATAGCCTCAAAGCATGTACTCCATCGGGTTTGCATAACATAATGAAGAGACATACTATTTGTTTCGGTAAAGATTTTCTTTCAAATAGGACTTCCAATAAAAATGAAGTAAAGTAACTTAACCCGAAAAAAATAGCTCTTTGCTTAAATAGAAGATTCATCGGGATGAACACCAGCAAAGTTAAAATTATAAGCTTGAGGATTCTTTATAAGTATGATGACTTGATCTCTTTTATACACACTAGACATGTTTGCTCCGTTGTCGTACTTGGATCTCGGTAGTTTTTTAAATTGGTATAATTTTGATCCAAGACATCAGTAAATGTTCGCAGCTTTCATTTTTTCGAATTTTTTTGATTCTGAGAAAACGCTCTTTAACTACACACCTTTTATAAACACCATAGTTGATAAGCTGAAAAAGAAAGGTAATTTTCTCAGTATGAGAGATATCATGTGGTCCATCAACGAGAATGGAATAGTAAATGGGTCTTTAATGATGGTACCGTGGACGAATACTCCACACTCTTTGATTAACTCATTTTAACTCCAACCAATATAATGGGCCGTATTTTTTCAACATCTTGTTGGAAGCGGGAAGTTTGTTCTTAGTTGTAACTAATTAGTCTTGCTGTGCTTTTCAAGTAACTCTAGCTTAGCAAGAAATCTGTCGTTATCATGATCATTAATCTTTTTTGATAAGCATAACACAAGGATTATAATTACACATATAATTCACAATTTTTTTGTAAGTTGTAATATATAAACAAAAATGTAAATACAAGTATAATAGCTAACATTCAGAAATGCACCTCTTAGTGGATACTGAACCTAAAAAAGAAGTCTTTTGAATGTTCAAAAGACGTCCTTAACGTTCAAAAGACGTTCAAAAGATGTCTTTGTTACGTCCCGCGCGCACTGTGCTCTAAAGCTAAGATTGCGTGATGCTAAAAAGGAAGTTACACCTAATCTACACTGCAGAAGTTCACGCCACCAGGCTGCCTCATCTTTTATTGACTTTTCAAGATTTGAACTTATCCCACACCAAGTTGCCAAAATTTCTAACGCTGTTTTCCGCTTCCATTTTGATTTAAGTAACATCTTATTGTACAGGTTTTGTAGAAAAAAAAGTATTTTGAGAAGATCTTATTATAACTACTCAATTGCGTTCTACTCAATACAAATTTTTAGTCCACAAAGCAGGATTATTGGTGGTAAATAACTCATCAATTGGCATTTTCTAATATTTCAAATAAAGAGATAAAATATTAAAAACCCATATTTTTTTTCACAACTTAACAACACTTAATAAAACCAAAAATTTGTTTTTATTTTCAACTTTTGTATAACAAAATCTTCAAGCGCATGTTATTTATTGTTCTTTTGCTGTAACTTATTTGCACCGTTTTTTCTGCACTGAGAGCCAGGTTCTTTTTTCTTGAAACTCAACATTTTGTTTTAAATGTAGCCAAAAAACCTTAACCAATTAATAACATTTTTAATACTCTTTTATAAAAAAGAGAGCTCAATATAAATTTAAAAGTTTATACCGTTTCTTTTACTCATTCCAGAAAGAAAAATTTAAGTATCGAGCTTGAATGTAAAAAACTTATAAAGTTATTTTTTAAATATATATTTTATATATACATTTTATATATATATATATATATATATATATATATATATATATATATATATCCTAATATAGAATGGACAGATGATGGTCCAATAATTCATTCAAATGGAAACTCAATTGAACATAAATTTATTAAAGTTTTAAATGATTGTTCTCTATACCAAATCGTAAATTTTCCAACATTCAAACAAAATGACTCTGTTTCAGCAGTTAACACCCTTGATCTTGTTTTAGTTTGCAATCCAAATTGCATTGATTTTCTTCAATGTGGTCCACAGTTAGGCCACTATGAAAAGAGAAGATACCATTACTCCATCACTTGGCAATATTTTACTAGTCTTAGTAACAATACAGTACTCACAAAAGATAAGTTTTGCTTTAAAAAAGGTAATTTTTTTTTCAAATGAATAAATACTTGAAACAAGTCAACTGGGTTGAGCATTTTTATAACAAATCAACCTGTGAGTGTTATAAGTTATTTTTGCATACATATAATGAATCTTGTCGATTGTTTGTTCCTATTCTGAATAATAAAAAAAAGAATAGTCAACCCTAGTTGGATGCAAAAGTTAAAAAAGCAATAGAGATTAAACATTCTATGTTTTATTCAAATTTGCATCGGCAAAGTCAAGAATCTTGAAAGGCTTTTAACTAAATGTGTGCTAATGTTAAAAAGCAAATCAAAAGATCAACTCGAGAATACGAAATGGATTTAGTAAAGAGAGCAAAGGTTGCACCAAAACTTTTATTCTCATACGTAAACAGAAGACAAAACATAAAAACGCAAATTAGAGCAATCAAGAACAAAAAAGATCAAGTTACAACTAAGATATCAGACATTTCAGATATATTAAATAGGCAATTTCAGTCAGTCTTTGTTAATGATAATGACCAACTAATATCCGAATTCTTGCAAAGATGCGAAAACCAGTGCGATTGCAGTAAATTATCTAACATGATTACCTATAAAAAAATTCTCAAAATGTTAGAAGTTATAGATAAGTTAAAAGCGATGGGTTTTGATGAAATTAGTCCGTTTGTTTTAAAGCATGCTGCAGAAGGTTTTGTGGACCCACTTATTCATATTTTCAAATTAAGCTATGACACTGGATGTGTCACTTACCACTGGTCTGTTACAAATATCACCAATTTACAACGGGGGATCAAAACTTGAACCAGAAAACTACAGACCAGTATCCCTAACATCTGTGATTTGTAAAATGTTCGAAATGCTCATTCGGGACACAATTCTGCAACATTTAGTTTCAAATAGACTTATATTTGAGGAGCAAACTGGTTTTGTTCCAAACAAATCATGCACAACAAATCTTATTGAGACAATTGACACAATTACATTTGAAACTGCAAAAGGTAAACCGTCATATATCTTGACATCGCAAAGGCTTTTGATAAAGTAAAACACAAAAGATTATTGACAAAGATTAAAGCGTATGGTATAACTGGCAAAATATATAACTGGAATGAAGTTTTCTTGCAAATAGGAAACAAAGAGTTGCTATTAGTAATACAGTTTCAGAATGGGTATCAGTTACCAGTGGCGTGCCTCAGGGTTCCGTTTTGGGTTCAATGTTGTTTCTGCTATTCATAAATGACCTCCCAGAAGTTGTGCTAAACACATTTAAAATGTATGCTGATGATAGCAAAATAATAGCCATAGAAGATTCCATTGATAAACAAGCGGAAATACGACTTTCCATTGATAAACAAGCGGAAACCGACCTTGACAACATTGTGAAATGGTGCAAAAATTGGGGTATGGAACTAAACTGCAAAAAATGTAAGGTGATGAGATTCGGCAATCAGAAAGTTTTTCGAGGTATTGATAAAACATACACAATGAATATAAATGAAATGATTTATGACCTCTCAAACAGTGTATTAGAAAGAAATCTAGGTGTCTTTGTACAACCGGATATGAGCATCAAACGCAAGTATGTGTTAATAAAGCTTCAAAAATACTGGGGTTATTGAAAAATGTCTTTGAAAGTAGAGATTGTTATATGTGGAAAATTTTGCATACCACTTATGTTCGAATCCATTTCTTCACAAACAGAGCTTGCCAAATTTGGAACAAACTTCCGGAAAAAGTTGTTGATTCCAAGAATTTGAATAGTTTTAAAGCAAGTGTAGACGAATGGCTTAAGAAAAATAAGAAAATATTAATTTAAAAGAAAAAGAAAAAAAAAAGTACTGGGCTGCTATAGCTGAACGTTACAACGTCTCAGCTTGTGGATCCACGCAGTTTACCACTAACTAACTAACTATATATATATATAAATATATATACATACATATATATATATATATATATATATATATATATATATATATATATATATATATATATATATATATATATATATATATATATATTATTATTATTATTTTTTTATTTTACATTTGTTGGTCGTATTACAACTATATATTGCCAAAAAAATAATAATAATAATGATAATAATAATAAACTTTCACAAATATAAAATAAGGTATCTGAAAGAAGATCAAAGGATCTTGTCGTCAGAACCTTAAATAAGTTCAAACAAGCATTAACAGTATCAAATTTTTACAAATTTCATATATATATAATCCAAATATATATTATATAATCCAAAGAGAGATCACGCGGATCTACTCACCAATATTTTATATAAACGTATACGTTAAGTAAAGAATATAAAATCAACAAAATAAGTAAGAATAAAATTTTTACAAATATAAATAAGAAAAGGCAAAGTTATTAATTATATTATTAATAATAACATAATACGTCTTCTAATGAAAAATTAGGGTTTTTAATTTACTTTTAAAAAAACAAAAAGTAATGGGTAGTTCGAAATCAAAATTGGGCAAAACATTTTTATTTCAAAGGTGTGGTGCCCGATAGGCAATACAAAATTGATTAAAGTTGGTTTGACAGAAAGGTTCATTTAAAAAATCAGTATTGCTCAAATTGTATGTGTTGATGGGTTTCGGAGTAAAAATATCTTTGAAGACAGGTTGAGACAAGTCATTTTTCCACATGTATACAAAACATAAAACATTATATATATATAGCTCGTATATATTTAAAATTCTCATTTCAATAAAATAATGTTTTGCGTGAGAAAGCGATTTGCAAAGCAGATTAAACGGATAGCATGTTTCTGACGGCGATAAAGACATTGCAACTTACTTTTTTCTGTACTACCCCAGGCGATATTAGCATAATTTAAATAACTGTGTATAAATGAATAATAAAGTTTGATTAAAATTTTCTTATTGAGGTAGATTCGTTCTTTATATAAAACTCCTATGTTTTTTGAAATTTTAGTGCTTATGTAGTCGATATGATGATTCCAAGTGATGTTTTCATCAAGATAATCACCTAAAAATTTTGTTACGGAATCCCTTTTTATTTCATTTTGATCAATAAAAATTTTAGGTAAGTTTAATGGCAAATACCGTTTTTTGGAAAAAGAATGGAATAAGGTCCACTTTGTTTTATTAGAATTTAGAGTTAACGTATTACATTTAAACCAACTCAATACATGTATAAGCTCTTTGTTTATTGTTTTAAAAAGTTCAAAGATATCACTGTTAGAAAGAAATAGTTTAGTATCATCTGCAAACATAATACTTGTTATTTTAGAGGCTTTATTTAAATCATTAATTAAATTAGAAAATTTAAATCATTTAATATAAATTAGAATTATTTAAACCATTAATATAAATTAGAAAAAAGAGTGGACCTAGAGTTGAGCCTTGTGGGACTCCACATGTTATGATAACCGTCATTACTCGAAACAAATTGTTTACGATTTGACAAATAGCTTTCAAACCATTTTAAAACTTTATTTTTAATTCCACAGTTTGTAAGTTTATAGATTAGAATTTGGTGATCAACCGTATCAAGCTTTTGATAGATCAATAAAAAGTCCTAGAGTATATTGTGAATTTTCAAATGATTTTAAGATTTCACGTACAAATTGGATAATTGCATGTTCAGTTGATCTATCCTTTTTAAAACCGAATTGATTAATGTTAAGTAATTTATTAACATAAAAATATTTGTATACTCTGTTATATATAATTCTTTCTAAAATTTTTGAAAATGTGGAAAGAACAGAAATAGGGCGATAGTTAATAATAATTGATTTATTCCCTTCTTTAAAAATAGGAATAATTTTGGCAATTTTTAACAGTTCGGGGAAAACACCTTGATGGATAGAAGCTTTAAAAACTTTAAAAAGAACAACTTTTAGCTGTTCAAAACAATCTATAATAACGTTTCTATTTATTTGATCTGCTCCAATTGCTTTATTTTTTTTTAAGGAATATATATATATATATATATATATATATATATATATATATATATATATATATATATATATATATATATATATATATATATATATATATATATATATACATTTATTAAATATATTATATATATATTATAATATGTCTGGAATCAGGAAAATAAAATTTCATTTGCCGTTAAAAAGAACATTTGTTTTTAAACTTAGTTGACTCTTTTCAACTTAATTAAAATAAAATCAACTAATTTTTTTGACAAGTTTTTATTAACATGGTTGCATCAAAATAAAGTAAAGTTTACAAAAAAAGTTGTAAAACAAAAACTATGAAAAAATCAAAATTTTAAAATACGTTTTAATAGGAAATATTTTATTTTAAGCAAAAATATAATCTGTTTAAAAAAAAAAAAAATTGATTAAATTAAACTTTTTTTTCGTTTATAAGTTTTTAAGTACTTTGAAAGATGTATTCTCTTGAGTAACAATAATTAATTTCTGTTTTACAAATAATCATTGATAGAACTTCTAACAAAATGTTTAAAGATTTATATTTTGTAAATTTATAAAGTTGTTATAGTATTTATATTATAAACTTTGTTTTAGACCATTTTTTTTAAACTAGTATAGTTATATATATTTTTTAACTTTCAATTATAGATTTTTTAAAAATAACGCTTTGCATTTGAAAAACCTGAATTATTAAATAGATAAATAATAACACCGTATAATGAAATAATAAAATGATTACTTATAATAGTAAAGATATGTTTAATGTTAGGTGTTCAACGCGACAAACTTCTTCACGAAATTCATTGTCATTTTTCACAAGATATACTAAAGTCGGCTTTAGTACTATATGGAATGTCAGGTGTTGGAAAGACAAAAATTGCCAAAAAATACTGTGAAATTTATTCTGACTTTTATAAAAACATTGTCTGGATAGACGCAGCATTTGGAAAATTACAAACTTCTATAAGAAATCGTTGTCAATCATTAGGATTTCTTGTTCATGATTCGGTAGGTGAATATTTTAACATGGAAGTAATTGTTGATAAAATTCACAACTATTACATAAATGAAAAAACTTTGTATATTTTTGACAATGTCGACGATGAAAGTGTTAAAGGTTTGAAAATGTTCATTTCAAGAAAAGCGAACTCGTATACTTTAATTACCTCGCAATGGAGAACTTGGTCAAACAATGTAAATAAAATGTTTGTTGATGTTTTTTCTTCTGAAGATGCATTCGCTTATGTTAAAAATAATATTAAAGAATACACCGATGAAAATATAAAAAGCTTAATCAAAGAACTTGGTTATCATCCGTTTGCTATAACGCAGGCAATAAAATATATAAATATACATAAAATTTCGATAGAAAAATATATTGATCGATATAGAAAGAAACCCCTAGAAATATTAGACACTGATAACTTTCCTACTGAAGAAGAATCAAAGTCTGCAATAAAAGCAATCAATTTAGTTTTATTCAAATTAAAAAAAACTAAACTTATTCCATTAGAAATACTAAACTGTTTATCTCATTGCGATGGTCAAAATATAAGTAAAGAATTTATAATCCAAATCTTAAATCAAATGGAAATAAAAGAAGAACATATAATAGATGAAACTCTTGGATTACTAACAAGTTATTCGTTACTAAATTGTTTCGATGATAACAAATATTCAATGCACGAACTGACTCAGTTGACGAGCAAATATTTTCAAAGTAAAAATTCAAGTTCAAATACTTATCTTGATCTAATAGTAAATTATTTTAAATTTGAGTTGAACCAAGTGAAGGATCACATAGAATTCGGAAATTATTTCGTTTTTCATTTCCTCTATGTGTTTCGGATTAACGAAAAAACAATGTCAAAAACCTTCCATAATATGACAACTTCTATTAAAGAGTTATTAGTATGTAAAGGTTTATTTGATGAAGCAATCGAAATATTAAAAGCTATTCAAAGTTTTAACACAGAAACTTATGGTGAAAATAATAAACACACGCTTGATACGAAACATAATATCGCAAAATGTTTTGACAATATGGGAAAATATAACGAAGCTTTAGAAATTTATTATTCTGTTGAGAAAATACAAACTGAAATTTTAGGTATCAACCATCCAGATACAATAAGAACAAAACTTAATATCGCAAGCTGTTTG